TAGGTTTAGTTTATGGCAGCTGTAGCACTTTTTGTCTTGTTTAGATTTTTCCTTTTCGCCGATGAGTCGATGGGCAAATTTGCAGGGCTTCATCGTGTATTTGCAGCATTTCCAAAATTCCCCGACCATTTGATTTGCGCACTTAATTATCATTGGAGTAAATTTTGAGGTGGTCACATACGAAACGTCAGAGCTGGAAGCATATGTACGAAAACAACTTGTCCCCATAAAAATGCCAAGATAAATACCTGGTAGCTTTAGTGGTCTGGGAACGCACTCATCGATTCATTATACGATGTTTTCTAAAAGGATGTTCTGCAGAGCCATTCTCCCATTTACAGTGCGTCGAGGACTCGAACGTAAATATATTGAGAACCTCTGGTCGTATTCGATGTGGTTCTCCCAGTAAGGGAGCCAAAGCTGTTAACATCATTGTACCCAAGCTTTTTAAGTACGCGGACTAGTGCAGCACTGGTGCAGTCCTTGATTCATTACGTTTGAGCGAGGCGAAACCAGGCTTAAGTCGTGGCAAAACCCGGATCAATAAAAATTGGTTTCCACGTCTGACGCGTCATTGACCGAGTCACTGTCCGCTGCCCAGCTCGCCTCCGCCTCTCGTGCGCTGCGGCGAAAGGCTGTGCACATGCTGTGCAGCGCGGCCTGCGATTCCCACGCCGGAGAGCTGGGCCCGGCCGCGTCCGGCTGGCCCCCCCCCCCTCTCCCCCTCCCCCCACGCTCCCCGGTCGCGCCGTCGCCCGCGGGCCTCGCGTCCGCCAGCCCCACGACAGCCTGACTTGACTGTCGCGTTCCCGGACCCGACGTGCGTCATCCAGCGCCGAGCAGGCTGCCCAGCGCTTTTTCACACCAGCTCCGACGCATTCCAGCGGGCAAGTAATCCGGCCCCGGCAGGCCACCCGGTATCGCAGAGCCGGCACGCGTGCCGGGTTATGGGCGACTACTGGATTTCCGTCCTGCTAAGGAAACGTGATGAATGAATGGCGCTCCGGCACGACTTGGCGCGGGCGCGGGATGACGTCATTGGTGATCGATCGGGACTAAGGCCACGCAGGTACAGCGGTCGGTCAGGAGGAGCCCAGGGTTCAGGTACGACGTTGGTAGCGTAGATGTGATTCCTCTCGATACCATAGGGAGCTCTTCACTAGGCTTGTCGTCAATAGACTAGTGAGTGAGCGAGGTGAGCATTTCGAATTGAGTTGATGGCCTCACGCTTTTCGGTGGAAGGCTTAGCTGTGGCGCGTTTTGTTTTCAGCATAGGTAACCTTCGGGACTCCTCAAAATGCCCTTTGGGAATGTCCCAAACGTGCTCAAGTGCAGTCTGAAGTGCAGTTTCATGTGCAAACAACAGACCCGCCTATGCAGTCATTGGGCGGCGGAGGTGGTGACGTATGACGTGGCAGTTAGCATGTGTCTTCGCCCCGAAGACGTAGTTAGCGTAGCTGGACAGCGTTTGATTAACTTGTGTATTGCATTAGTGAAATGACAGTTTCCAAAACCGACACTGGCGGCCCTCATCCAATTCCCAGGTCTAGCACGCAGTCACCACTGCCCGCCTTTCCATTAGCATGTTTGTAGTGTATGCCGTACCTCCTTTGCTTACTTGCTTCCTTTTACATTTTGTAGCAGCGAGTGCGTCATCTCATGCGTAGGGTTATCAATGTGGCAGAGACTGCGGGCATGAGCACTCCTGACCTCCTGTTCATCAGCATTGAACAGGCCTAAGTTTACAATGCCCTGTTTAATTCAACCAGCTGGACTGCATTGAGTGGTCAGTAAACATCAGACGGATGGTTCGCCGTCGGCCGACCTGACATGTGATGACCTGCACCAGGCCTCGCAGCTTACGACTCGGTACCCGGGACCAGCCTGTATGAGCACAGCACGAGCTGACCCGGACACGAGCTGACCCGGACCGCGTGCTCACTGGGACCGTTTATGACTCCCGTCTAAAGTGCGCACCGGAGACTACGGTGTCAGTCGGTCTCAATGTGTTCCTGACATGGTGAAAAGCCAGTAGACCCGCCTACACCTCGGCGATACATTGGGTGTAACCGATGGGTGGTGTGATGCGGTACGTGCGCTCATCAGGTGGCCGAATTGGGCTTCCTTGCCTCCGATTTGTTTTGTAAAATGAACGTTCTTGTAATTCCTGTTAAAAGCAAGATTTAGGGGCATATTGTCCCCGACCTGATCCCCGACCAACCTCCGATCCGACCCCCCCCCCCCTCCCCACCCCCCCACCCCCACCCCCTCCCCCTCCCAATCTCTGAGACGCAGTTACGCACCCATGGGGAGACAGTTGAGACCCAGCCCTGGATCACCCAGTGGACGTCAGCGACCCAGCGCTGGCCGTGCAGCAGCACCTGCCTCGTTGCGTCGCGTTGGACCGTCATCGTGTTGCAGTGAGAAGCCCGTCAGCGCTGATTGCACCGAACCCCGAGCGCCAGGCTCGCAGCCGGCAGAGCGGCTCCACCGGCCGGGAATCGCCACCCGCTCGTCTCCGGCACGAGGCGCCAATCAGCCGGCGAGCGTCGGTCGGCGCGAGCGGGGGTATTGTAGCGGCGTTGGCCGGCGAGCGCGCGCCAAACGACGGCAGGCGGCCGGCCGGAGGCGCGCCGGCCCGTCCGCAGCAATCAGGCCGGCGGCCGTCACCGCTCGGCCGCCCGGCCGGGCCGAATATCAATCTTTCGGCCGAGGTGTGACGCTTACCTGGGGGACGGGGCACGCCCCCACGGGGGATGGGGTGAAGGAAGTCGTTGCTGCCTCACACAACATCGTGTCAGTCCCAGAGATGGGGATGGGAACGTCCCGCCTGGAGGAGTGGGGGTGGGGACGCCCCGACAGAGGATAATGGGGACCGCCCCCAACTAGAGGGCTGGGCGTGGGCTGGGCGATTTTCTAAGAGCTTTTGGTGAAGGAATGCCCGATTGGCGATAGCATTGCGTACAGCTGGTGATGAGTGACAACGTCTGGAAGCCCAAATGATTGTAATAAAAGGGACAGATAATTCCGGGGACAGATAATTCCGGACGTCAGTAGATAGCGGCATAATTAAACGTTGATAATGCTTATTCGCGGCCTCCCAGTTTTCTTTTTTCACTGGACTAGCTTATGTTGTGAGCTTTGTTTTAGGTGCGTACGAAGCAGCGCCTGTACCCTGAGTCCATACCCAGTCTCCAGAAGTACAACTCCTTTTCAGTGAATAACTCGGCGCCTGTCCCTCTGGCCTGGTGATAGACGGGACCGCGCAAGGATCTGTTTCATGCCGTTCAATGGTACGAATCGACTGCATCATGCCAGGATGACCCTGTCTGACCAGGGGTCGGACAACCGTCACATAAGGGTCGGGCCAAACAGTTCACTCCCTTGGGGACTCGAACCTGGCGCCACGGGACACAGGTCAGTCGTGCATCCCAATCTACGCGGTCGGCGATCCACTGTTCAAGCTGCTTCTTCTGCAGAGCGTATGCATATTGGTATAACGTATTGTGGAAATGATGGCAAACAACAGGTACGTACTGTGGAAGTTTGAAACATTTGTAATATGTGCTTAAATGCTGCAGATATTTGTTCCCGGAAACATGGGTGAGACACGGGTAATTTGTTATCTCATTCAACGCAGCGAAAAATGGCGATTATCTGTACAGACTGGTGACATGGGACATTCGGGCCTGGCAGCCCTGTACCAGGGGTGGAGGCCTGGCAACCCTGCCCGGGGGGTGGCCTGGAAACCCTGTACGAGGGATGGAGGCCTGGCAACCCTGCACGAGGGGTGGAGGCCTGACAACCCCGTGCGAGGGGGGGAGGTTGGAACGCCCGGCCCGCTGGCGCACCAGACGCCCCAGGAAAGCACCGGAGCTGTCGGCGGCGGTCGCAGCGGATGGCGCCACGGAGCAGGCTAGGCTGGCCGTCGTTCGTCCACGGAGTGCGGCCCTGGCAGCGTGACGCGTCGCGTGCCCACGGTGGTGTTGCTGACTGGGAGCGGCGACGGTGGCCGGCCGGGGCTGCTGGAGCGACCGACGGTCAGAGCCGCGCTCTCGCCCGCCGCCGCCGGCGAGCGGCGGCCGCGGCGTGTCCGCGGGCCGGGGTGCCGGACGACGCGGGACGAAATCAGTGCCAGTGGAGCGGCGGCTCAGCCAGGCTCCCGAGGCATACTCCACGCACTGCCGGCAATATGGAGATTGCTAGCGATGCTGCTGACAGGCCTGAACAAGTTCCACTGAGCCAATGGAAAAACAATTTCCGAATCTTGTTACTACGGCTGAGCAATTCGCGTAAAATGCAGAGATGCGTTTCTCACTGGCATGACATGCACTCCACGCATGGACACATGGCTGCTGGAGTTTTGGATTACCGTATCTGCCAATGAAGAGTTCCCGTGAGCGGATCAGCACGGCCGGTGACGAGGAAGCTGGATCGCCGTCAATGGCACAATTTTGAATGCCATTTTAAACAACGCGCTGTTTCCACGCCCGCAAAATGGTGCCTGCTCCCACCTAGCCCTCCTTACGCATCAGTCTTTCGCCCTGCAGGGGCTTGATTGGCATCGTACTCACTTCGCGGTGAAAACCCGACTGGCCATGTCGTACTGTGACAGAGTGGTCAGACAGACGTTTCGGTGTGCCCGCTGACTGCGTGTGCCCGTCGGCTGCGTGACGGTGCGCCCGCTGACTGCGTGTGCCTCGCCGGCTGTGTGACGGTGCGCCCGCCGACTGCGTGTGCCTCGCCGGCTGTGTGACGGTGCGCCCGCCGACTGCGTGTGCCCCGTCGGCTGTGTGACGGTGCGCCCGCCGACTGCGTGTGCCTCGCCGGCTGCGTGACGGTGCGCCCGCTGACTGCGTGTGCCTCGCCGGCTGTGTGACGGTGCGCCCGCTGACTGCGTGTGCCTCGCCGGCTGTGTGACGGTGCGCCCGCCGACTGCGTGTGCCCCGTCGGCTGTGTGACGGTGCGCCCGCTGACTGCGTGTGCCTCGCCGGTTGCAGAGCACCTGGCTGCGCCGCTGGAGCAGTACCTGGCGCCGTACCGGCAGGTGCGGGTGGTACGCACCAGCAAGCGGGAGGGCCTGATCCGCGCCCGGCTACTCGGCGCCCGCCACGCCACGGCCGACGTGCTCACCTACCTCGACAGCCACTGCGAGTGTACCGAGGGTGAGTGGGCGACTGGGTCGGTGGCTGAGCTTGGGAAGGTCAGCTGGTGGAAGAAGGAACTGGAGGTGCCTTCAAGAACGGGCGTTTGCTTTCCAGTGTTCGGTGAGTTGTCTGTGTTTCCAAACACACATGCGAACGCACATGCGTGGGAGTAGGGGTCAAGATGTGTCCCCTCTTCTCCCCCCCCCCTCCCCCCAGTGGTTTTAAACTCCAACAACGGGTGAAGCCAGCCGTGGGCGGTGTGTGAGTGTCTGTGTCAAAGATGGCGACGTTCTGGCGCCGCGTCTCTCGTCTGTACGGATGGCGGTGGACAGAAACCCAAAGGTGGTACGTTTCGTCTTTCGCCCTCCTCTCATTTTTGGTCTTCTCTCTGCCGCTTCCCTTCTCCACCTTTTTCATGCTCCAGTTTTCCCCCGTTTTTGCCTGCCACCCTTCCCATCCGTCTCTCGCTTCTCCACGTCTGCGCGCCGGTGGGACTTGCCCCGAGCGCCCTCGTTCAGTTCGGGCCAGCTTCTGATCGAGTTCCCCTGAGACCGGTCGCGGCAGGCCGATGACACAGAGTCCTGCCGCACCCCGTTTTTACGTCCCGTGTGTTTGCACCGCCATGTGGAGGCCTCGGCGGTCCAGCTCGGCCAGCGGACGCCGGGGCACGGGCGACCGCCGGCCCTGACCCGGCCCGGCGCCGGTACCATCGGTCAGACGCCTGCTGCCCCGGACGGCGCAGCCTGGCGCTCGACAGGCGATCGGTGCCGGATCGGCGCCAGCTCGCTGCTCAGGCGGCAGGCCGGGCAGCAGGCGCCAGGTGCAGGGTGACCGATGGTGCCGGCCGCGATGAACGGCGGCGCCGCTCTCAGCCGGTACACTCAGACACGAACGGTACCTTTACCGGCCGGCGGTGAACCGGGGAAATTTGCTGGCAGAGTGCTCGTAAGCGGCCGACGGGCCGTCTGTTCGGCTCCGGTGTCTATGGAGCGAGCCACGGTCAGGTGGCGGCGCTGCAGGTGACGCCGGAGGACCGGCGCGCCGTCGACGGACAGTGGCCAGGGAAGGCGGACATCACCAGTCCTGCTCTGGCCAGTGACCGGTGGCAATCAGCAGTGTGGACCACGGCGTTGGAAGAACAGCCACGGTGATGGCTGGCCGTCAACCGGCTTCGTGAGATATGCCACCGACTGTTTTGTGTGGTACCCCAGAGAGCGTAACTCCAGGACCACTGCAATACCGAACCATCCGCCTGCAGTTTATTAGGAGATTACTTGAAAGCAGATTTCAGTGCATAGGAGGTAGCTTATGTGTTACGAGAGCTGGAAATTTAAGAAAGCACAAATGCAACTGAACGGGCTGCAGACTTAAATCCATGTTCTAACATATTACGTAAGTTGTTTAGTGTATTAGCGAGGACTGTTATTCGCGTAGATAGGACTGTAATATGGGCCTTATTCCTCGGAAAAAACAGGAGAATGGAGATATAGAGAATGGAGGTTTATATTTCGGCAGCGTGCCTTTATCGAAACATTAGCTTCTGCTATTGTTTCGATAAAGGCATTTTGCAAAGTATAGTTTCTGCTATTGTTTCGATAAAGGCATTTTGCAAAGAATAGCTTCTGCGTTGTTTGGATAAAGACATGTTGCCGAAATATCAACCCAACTGTATTTCTATTTTCCTGGTTGTTTTTTCCCGAGGAATAAGAATAAGGCTACTGTCTTATCCATGTTCTGATAGTTTGTCCACCAATGCCCCGAGGCGTTTGTAACCTGTTTGACTGGGCATGTGTCCAGCCGGCGGCTAGGGCGAGGTATGGCACACCCGCGACTCGACGCAGCCAATCCGCGACCCTACCCTCCCCCCCCCCCCCCCCTCCCAATGACCCAGCTGTGCGCCATATGCTGACACTAATGCGCACACTACGCGGTAATGGAACGCGCCACACGCGTGCTGCGCTGCGCCTGAGATAGCGACGCATGGCTGCCGCGATGGTCCATGCGCCGTCAGTGCGCCGGAGCAGCGTGGGCGAATTGTTACCCAGATATCGCACCGTCTGATATCTGACTGCGGCCCTTGGCCGATCATGCTTGATCACGAACTTGTTTGTCGCTGCCCTGACCGAGCGTAATCGTACTTTGTTGCTGGCACTTTCCGGACGGATGGGCAGCTACATTTTGGGCCTTTGTGTGAGCTGCCAGGCTGGTACTTGCTCCCGCTTAGAGAAATCTATTCCTACTTTGACTCACAGTACATGGCACAGATGTCGATTCCGACTCCCGGCAGCATAGCACAGCTTCGAAATGCCCCTGGTCCGGACTCCACCAGATTATCCCAATGACGGCATTGTTTCTGATGGAGTCAGTTCTGATGGCAACAGCCGAGGAGATTGTGTTCCATTGGCTTTATGGCAGTGTAGATTTGACATTTATATTGATAAGGATACACTTCGATATTGGCGTGGGCCATTAGCCGCATACATACGCTAACAGGCACCGGCGGGTATATCCTGACGTTTACACTTCTATTTGAGTCTACTCACCGATCGCTCGGTCGACCGAACTTCGACTCCGACCCAGAAGATCATGTCAAAGGAGTCGATTCCACCTTGGCTCAACAACCTTTTGGTTGATTCAGTATTCGATCCCGTCTGCGCCCAGTATCAAGAAGACGTCTATGATCTTCTTACTGCGTTTTCGAATGAAGTAGATGGCCTGTGTTCTCGCCGTCTGCAGCCATAGATCGTACTGCTACAAAGGAAGTCAACATATGCCAAACAGCCAGGATGTAGCCCTTCAGCGCTCGCTGCGTTGTCAAGGCCCGCACAATGGACAATGCGATGTAAGAGGCGTCGGTTCAGTTGCTGGGTCGTGACGCCCGCCGGCGGGCTCGTATACTGGAGCGAACATTGGGCCGTCAGTGAACAGAGCACCTCATCAGCGGCCGGCCCGGCCGGGCTCTACGCATCACTGCGGTGGCTGCCCGCGCCAGCGAGTCCACCTGGGGCTGCTGCGGAGCAGGGAGCCCGACGCGGCCCCACATGGGTGGAGAGAAAGAGAGAGAGAGAGAGAGAGAGAGAGAGAGAGAGAGAGAGAGAGAGAGAGAGAGAGAGAGAGAGAGAGAGAGAGAGAGAGAGAGAGAGAGAGAGAGAGAGAGAGAGAGAGAGAGAGAGAGAGAGAGAGAGAGAGAGAGAGAGAGAGAGAGAGAGAGAGAGAGAGAGAGAGAGAGAGAGAGAGAGAGAGAGAGAGAGAGAGAGAGAGAGAGAGAGAGAGAGAGAGAGAGAGAGAGAGAGAGAGAGAGAGAGAGAGAGAGAGAGAGAGAGAGAGAGAGAGAGAGAGAGAGAGAGAGAGGAGAGAGAGAGAGCAAGCACACGGCCGGCTTCGGGGCGGGCTGACGGGGCCAGCGTCCGTACGTCCGTGCGATTGTCCCCGGCCAGCGTGCGTACGTCTGTCGGGTCGAACTGCATACTTTAGCAACGGATCACTCAGATTGAGAGCCACGTGTACACCTATGTCTTGCTATTCAGCCGTGCTTGCTTCATTCAGAGGCTTATGCACGTTAAAGGGCAAAGCGGGAGTGTAATTTCGCAAAATAGGTGTGCGGGGGAGGGGGGGGGGGGGCGAAGAGTAGAAAATGACAACGCCTTCTCTCAAAGAGCGCTAACAAACGGGGTTTTTCATGGATTTGGCCCAGTTCTTCTCCAAGTTGCGGGGGAGGGGGCTAGAGTTCAAGGTGGCGCGCTGAAGCCCTTCCCCCCTCCCCCTCTAACTGAACAGCTGGGTAAAAGCTTCATGACCTCTCTCCAGGCACGGAGAGGGCCCTCCTTTTGGCCCATGACCTCCAGGCCCTCTCCTTCCTGGGGCTACCTAGGTGCAATTGACATAATATTAATCAAGTCAGCAGACTACAGCAACACAAGACCACAAGTCAATCGCAGACTGAGCTGTTGGGGACGAGTTGCTGTCCTGTGACATGGGTGTCGTCCTCGGTCGAACAAAGTGTGGCTCGTCCTCTGGGAATGGGCTTCCAGTTTCTTGCCATGGCCTCTGCGCTTAAAGGCTTAAGTGCCTGAGCCGCCGGTTACAGGCAGGCGAGGCGCCGCGCCGCGATATGCACCTCACGCGGAGCACTCCCAGATCTTTGTAAAGAGCAGCCGAACTTCATGTCTGGAAAATCCCTTGCACGGTTCAGAGGCTCCCGGGGCCCGCGATTAGGATCGCTGTTCTTAAAAATGTCGTTTTGACCGCTGACATCCGTGATGCCATCAATCTATTTTAAGATTGCGTGACCAATTATTTAATCACACGCGTGGAAAGTTATATAACAGCACTTATTCTAGATTCGCGCGGCATTTTTGTATGCCCTTCGTTTGCTCTTTGTGCTTGAAGATGCCACCTGGGAGCTCATCCTAATCGAGTGCAGGTAAATCGTCCTCACACAAATAGCAGCGCTTGAACTCATAGCCATACGGCACGGCCAGCGTAAACAAAAGTATTTTGTACTTGATTCGAGCTAGTACATAATCCAATTTTTTAAGGCAGGCTTTATAATTTTAAGTACGACCCTTTGCAAGTGAGATAGCTGTTCTGGCAACGGCAGGAGGCTTTTGCCTGGAAATGAGCTGGCCCCTTGGATGCATTCAAAACCATCGGAGACATCATGGCGCTCCCCATTGGCGAATAGGTCAGTCCCCCCTTCCGCTTCTCCTCCGGATGTCAATTTCTTCGTGAGGATGAAGATTATCAAACAGCTACGTGGCCTTCCTTTGGCGAAAAAAGAAATCCACCATGTGCTTGTCTGCCCAACCCTCCCTCTTCAGTGGTATCTTTGGCACGGCATTAGCTTTTCTTACACAACTGGGCGCGGCCTTGCAGCACCTGAAGTCTCGGCACCTGGTAACTGTGTTTAGCTAGGCATAAAACCCGAACGACTCGCCGGCGAGGAGAGTCCGAGGGAAGAGCTGATTGGCCGGGAGACTTGCAGCCTTTGTACCGCCGGAGAAAGGAACCATCGTCTGCTCATTGATTGCATCTTGCCTTTCCTCTGCCCATGGTTGCCCCTTGACCTAACAGGCAAGGTGGGGCGGTTCTCTCCCCAGCTTCATTTTGCACGCTGACCACCTTTAGGCCCGCTCGCGTGATTCATGCTGCCATGTGATCAATTTGCATCCGCTGCTTGCAGGCTGTAAATCAATTTGACGCAAATTGTGCATACTATCCACTGCATTCAGTTTGACGACCAGCTGTGAATTTTAAAACTCACTTTAGCAGCCTATGAAGCTCGCGATTGTCTCGTAGGCGTGGGCGTGCTTTTCGAAGAAGCCGACCAGGAACGTGTCTGACCACTTAATCAAGCAGCCGGCAAGGCTGACGGCGCTGGAATCTGCCGTCCGTGTTCGTATGATCTAACAGGTTCCTTGCCTTTCCAAAGATTCGAATTGCTGCATCTCAGACGACATGACGGTGCGGTTTCATCGTCCGGCTGTACGGCTGTGTTTTTATCTCGACAAGGCTACTCCGCGGCGACCAGGCGTCCTGCGATCTTGTGCTCCTGGTTTCGTAGATGCTATGACTAAGTGCCTGAGCTCCCCGCGACTGGTCTGGTCCCAGACACCGAAACAGGGCCGTCACACGACATCTTTAAATCCACGAGTGATTCCCTAATGAAGGCCCCAGCCAGGCAATGTGCCTGCCTCGTGTCCGGGAACGTGTGTCCTCACCTCCTCCGGTCTGTGACCCATGAGTCGTGAGCTGGGCAGGCAGGCTGCTGCGGCCTGCACACTGCCGGGTCCGTGGGTGACCTGCGGTCCGCGAGCCCGTGGCACGTGTGTCCTCACCTCCTCCGGTCGGTGACCCATGAGTCGTGAGGTGGGCAGGCAGGCTGCTGCGGCCTGCACACTGCCGGGTCCGTGGGTGACCTGCGGTCCGCGAGCCCGTGGCACGTGTGACCTCGGTCCGTCGCACGCCTGCCTGTCTCGGACCGCTCTGCAGGCGCCCGAACTCCGGCCTCACCGCCTCCGGTCGTCCCGGTCAGCTCGTGGAGCCTCACGTTCCGCCTCCGTCCACAGGCTGGCTGGAGCCGCTGCTGGACCGGATCGCCCGGAACCGGACAACCGTGGTGTGTCCAGTCATCGACGTGATCGACGACACCACGCTGGAGTACCACTTCCAGCGGGCCAGCGGGACGTCTGTGGGTGGCTTCGACTGGAACCTGCAGGTGACAGTGACGGCCGCACCGAGCGTCCGCCGCCGCGAGCGGGGTGCATGGCGACGCCGGTTAGCCGGGAGTGTTGATTGGAGACGGTTGTGGGAGCGTGAACAAATCTAGGTGAACTGTTCGCCAGATCAGTTCGTACATGTGCTCGATGACTCCACATGATACGAAAGTCAAAAAACGTTTCTTCGTTTATGCAGCATCATACCCGTGTGTTATTCATGCTCACTCACGAAGCCACAGCATTCTTTCATTTTTCCAGTAGCAATGCCCCAGTCCTGGCGGTCTGCGCCTGGTCCGGGTAGGAGGCCGCTCTCCACTCCCCCGGGTACATCGCCGGGCGCAGCCAGCCCATTCAAACGCCTCCTTCGCCGAGTAGAATGGCATGTCATTGGCGCTGCCGGCGCCCAAGCGCAGACCGCAAGCGGTTGAGCCGTCATTCTTTAGCGCCAAGCGCGCGCAACCGGGAATATAGATGAGCCGCCTTCACTGTTGGCGTGCGCGCTTTCAATTTCAACCGGCTGAAATTGGATTATATTCGTTTGGCTCAAGCGAAGGGAACTCGGCTGAAAGGAGTTCGGGTGGATTCTTTCAAGTAGGAAATTGACGAGGAGCAGAAGAGACGAAGCTCAGTATTTTCTGTGATCTCTTTGGGCCTTTTAATAGCTTGCTCTCCAATTGAAAGTTAGATTCCTTTGAGTGGAGCTGCCCCGGGTCGGTCAGCACGGTAAACAGCGGCGGCTGGAGGGCGAAGCCACTGTAACCGTCCGCTGCCGCCGGCTGTCAGTGAACCAGGTCTTAGAACTAGCACGTTTTGCTGTGGCTTTCAACATTAAGACGGGACATTACACCTAAGTTCATCTTGAATTGCATTTCCATCTCTTTTATCACTAATATGGATGCAAAAAATCTTGCAAATAAATCCTGGTCGTGGGCTGAAATTGTGGCCACTGTTCTAACTACTACCAGAAGTCATGTATTCACTGATTGTACATGGTCGACATCGAGTAATAAATTGGTCCAGCGCTTTTGAATTGCGAGGCCGTGACGGAGCGGGGCGGGACCGCGATCCTTGTGTGTCGGCGAGCGTCCGGCGCCAGTCGTGTCTAGACCGTGCGGGCCGCTCCCGCACGACTCCCGTCCCGGTCCGTGTCACGACTGGGGCCGGCTCGTGACCGGCCGGACGGCCGCTCTCCGGGGTCGCCGGGTCGTGACCCGGCCCGGCCGATACGGCCGCCGTGATCAGACGATAATGTCACGCAGTATTGTTGCCACACACGCCTGTGATGGATCACACCACCGTTTTGATGGCATAAAGTGCTCACACGCAAGTGCAACGCTTAATGGTTCGAAATTGTTATCGCTGGCTATCAGGCTGGCTGGTGGGACGTGTCTCCCTCGGACATCGTACAGTTTCCACGACAGAAATCAAAAACACAGCTCTGATTGTGTAGATAAATGAGAAACCTGATCTGGGAAATTCGGCACCACAGCAGACTGGAAAATTGACCCTTAAAATTCTGGCATTTTGTGTGGTGCGACATCATGGTTCATTTTACAACTGGCAGGGTCGCGGTTTTCTATTCATTGGAGGTGGCTAGTTTTGTTTCGCATCAGTTACGGCTGAGTTCAAAAGCACTTTTCAACGTGCAATATATTCTGTCCTCAGTTAGAAAGGCATAGGTATGTTTGAGCTGGTTTCACTTACCCCCCACATCCTAGACCATCTACAAGACTAGTGTTCCGTACCCCAGCCTTTTCGGCGCACTCGGTCACAAGTCGCAGTACACCCCATCGCAAGTCACAGCTCACCAGCATCTCGGCGTCCACAGCGCACCGTGCCGCTTCGGATCGCTGCCGAAGCCGGACGATGTCGGCCGTGCTGACGTGCGGTCGTTCTGACATCCGGCCGTGCTGACGTCCGGTCGTGCTGACGTCTGGCCGTGCTGACGTCCGGCCGTGCTGACGACCGGCCGTGCTGACTTCTGACTGTGTCGCCTCGCAGTTTACCTGGCACTCGATCCCGGAGCGCGAGAAGCGGCAGCACCCGTTCGCCTCCGATCCCGTGGCGTCGCCGACGATGGCCGGCGGCCTGTTCGCCATCGACCGGCGCTGGTTCGAGATGCTGGGCACCTACGACCAGGGCTTCGACATTTGGGGCGGCGAGAATCTCGAGCTCAGCTTCAAGGTGAGGGCCCTGCTGCTGGCCGTCGCAGACAGGCAGCGCGCGTGGTACCCGGAGCAGGAGCGGACGATCTCGTGCTCCCCGCATATTCCTTCGACGCGTCGGTGATTCGTACGTATGGGCACATGCTTTCATGTATCCACCTACCTCGCTCTGTCGTCGCTGGCTGAGCGATTTGACTGCTCGTCCCATACCCCCGTCCACCTCCCCAGACTAGGATGTGAGCGATCTGACCACTCGTTCCCCACCTCTGTCCACCTCCCCCCCCCCAAACTAGGATGTGAGCGATCTGACAGCTCGTCCCCCTTCCCCCCCCCCCACCTACGTCCACCTTCCTCAGACCTGGATGTGCGGCGGCCGGCTGGAGATCGTGCCCTGCAGCCACGTGGGCCACATCTTCCGGAAGCGCTCGCCGTACAAGTGGCGCTCTGGTGTGAACGTGCTGCGTCGCAATAGCATCCGGCTGGCCGAGGTCTGGATGGACGACTATAAAAAGTACTTCTACCAGAGAATTGGCTTCGATCTGGTGAGCGGGCGCGGAGTGGCCAGCCAGGATTGTGGTCAGCTGGAGCGGAGAGTAGCGACGTGCTGTCTGCTGTCTTGTCTGCTGTCCGTCTGACTTAAAAGCGCGCAGGTTGTCCTGTTTTGCTGGCTGGTCCGGGATTTGCGAACGTTAGGCATCACAGACGTGTATTTTCCCATTTCTTTCCGTTGCAATGAGAGCAGCTGCCGTGCTTTGGAGCGGACACTTTTTCAATCCGACGGAGACCCGCGACTCATCTGAACAGCATCGTAATCGTGCCGAAAGCCCCGAGGAGAGACCTGCTGTTCTGCGGACGTCCGGGTGCCGCTGGTTCATGCGTCGGTGCCGTGCCTCCAGGGGGACTTTGGTGACGTCTCGTCGCGCAAGGCTCTCCGCCAGCGGCTGCAGTGCAAGTCTTTCCAGTGGTACCTGGACACCATCTACCCGGAGCTGTTCATTCCCGGTGATGCCGTCGCCAGCGGAGAGGTGTGTTACCGGGGGGGGGGGGGGGGGGGGAGGAGGGAGGGACGGCTGACCACGGGGCACGGCTGGCCCGCGGTCGTGTCTGCTTTTTCAATGGCCAAGGCATTTGCTAGAGTTGCCGGCATTCGAACCATGGCCAGACTTAATTGTTAGAAAAACTGTCGATGATTATGATTGCTGATCTGAACACCGTCGTTTGCGGACATGAGGACTGGACAAAAAATGAGGTGCTCGTTTTAATGGACACACTGGCAGTAGAGGTGGTTATGGCCCTAAGGTATTGCTGAACGGTATCTATGACGAGCGTCAGACACTCAGATGGCTAGCTTTTCATGCTTTCTGGCTCCATCGGATTCGTGATGCCGTCGTAGCGTCTTGATGTGTTCAGGCTGAACTAACTGCTGCTCAAAGTGTGTGCCGGTCGTCACCACAGTTTTGCACTGCGCCCTCAGAGCGGTCGTACTATGCCCGTGCTGTTGGTGCCGGCCGAGTCCCTGTCCGTACCTTCTGATGTGCCACCTGCAGTCGCGTCTGGCTGGTGTGGTCGGGGTGGCGGGAGCCGCTGCCATCCCGCGACCGCCTCTTGTGGGTGTGGGGGTTCACTCCTCGCGTGCCAGCTTTGGTATCCTGTCGGCACACATTGTTGCATGACTTGGATGACATCACTATTGACGCCTCCCGGTTAACGAGCGCTTGCTATGGTCAAGCTCTGAGGTGTTGAAGATGTTCTGACCTCAAACTGGGCCAGCTGGACGTTCAATACGAAGAATAGTTCACGCAAATTTTAAGTTTTTAGTTCCGACCTGACACAAACGTGCTGAATTATATTACGCATGAGATCTGCTAGATCAAGCGGTGCTCAGCATTGTCAAAGACGTCAAAAACGTCAGGTACTTGTGTGAAAAAGCACACAGAGTACCGATTCTGTGAAGCGACGGCCGAGTCGAGGTCGCCATCGGTACGTTGAGAGGTGTAAGCGGCGCCGTCCGCAGGTGCGTAGTTTGGCGCCGGCGACTAGTCTGTGTCTGGACTCGCCGGCGCGCCGTCGGGACCTGCACCGGCCGGTGGGTCTGTACCCCTGCCACGGCCAGGGCGGCAACCAGGTGCGTGGACTGGGGGGGAAGGGGGGCGCTGGCGCCGAGCGTGGACACGCTGGCCTGGCGCCACCTGGACACGGACGTGGAGAGGCCGCTCGGAACCGCTGGAGAGGGTCCCGGCCAGCGTCTTCCCTGGTCGTTGTCTTTGGAAAATTGTTCCACTTAGCTGTTAAAGGGTTCACACAGACAGCAAAACAGCTCCAGGCCGGCAGCCTCGCTCACTTAAAGCCTGCTCAGTCCGGTTCCGTGCGGTCCGCCTGTCGCGCGTCCAGGTGGCGCTTCTGTGCTGCTAGAAGGTGTCGCCTCGGGTGGCGCCGGCCCTGCGGAAGGCATGCTCGTCGTCACGTGTCGTGTTTACACCCGCATGGTGTGTGTCTCTGTGTTGTCTAGATTCGTCTGCGCTTTGTCTTTGCTAGATTCGGAATGAAGCGACTCAGATATGCGTGGACTCACCGTGCGAGCATACGGACCTGTATAAGCCGGTGGGAACGTACCCGTGCCACCTGCAGGGTGGTAATCAGGTGAGTCGTTGTCCCATTGCGCCCCACCCTCTCGCCCCATGCGCACCTCATCCTGCCATTCTGTACCGCCGGCCTTATGCGTCTCCGGCCGACACATCGGACGGGCTGCTGTTGCCGTCCCTCTCAGCCGAACCTCTGTGGCAGCCGATAGAAGCGCTGAGCTGTGATCACCTTGCATGACCTTATCTGGCAATCAGGGCTTAAACAGATGTGCGCTTGTGTGTGTGAGTGGAAGCCTTTTTTTGGATGTGACGGTTGCGCAGATTTCTGAATGTCTTGGATGCTGGTATTTGGCAGTATCTGTGGAAATGTTTGTGTAGAAGTTCACGCTGGTGTATATGTTCTTGTAAATAGCACGAATATGACTCGGATACACAACGAATGTTAGGTAATTACCATGATTTATCACAGTTTTTGCAGTTCTGGCTATCAGACTAAATACAGACAGCATGTCCGTAAATTAGCGTGGCAAGCGCAGACATAAAGGGCGCGCACGTTCGCGTAGCCGTCCCGCGCCGCCGTCACCGTGCCCGCGGACTGGTGGGCGTCCCGCGCCGCCGTCACCGTGCCCGTGGACTGGTGAGTGTCCCGCGCCGCCGTCACCGTGCCCGTGGACTGGTGAGCGTCCCGCGCCGCCGTCACCGTGCCCGTGGACTGGTGAGCGTCCCGCGCCGCCGTCACCGTGCCCGTGGACTGGTGAGCGTCCCGCGCCGCCGTCACCGTGCCCGTGGACTGGTGGGCGTCCCGCGCCGCCGTCACCGTGCCCGTGGACTGGTGAGCGTCCCGCGCCGCCGTCACCGTGCCCGTGGACTGGTGAGCGTCCCGCGCCGCCGTCACCGTGCCCGTGGACTGGTGAGCGTCCCGCGCCGCCGTCACCGTGCCCGTGGACTGGTGAGCGTCCCGCGCCGCCGTCACCGTGCCCGTGGACTGGTGAGCGTCCCGCGCCGCCGTCACCGTGCCTGTGGACTGGTGAGCGTCCTGCGCCGCGTGCTGCAGTTCTGGATGCTGAGCAAGGCGGGCGAGATTCGGCGTGACGAGGCGTGTCTGGACTTCGCCGGCGCCGACGTCGTGCTCTACCCTTGCCACGGCGGCAAGGGCAACCAGATGTGGGAATACGAGCCGGTGGTGAGTGGCGGTGACGGCCGAGCGGGTGGCGGCAGCTGTCGGCGCGCGGCCGGCGAGCCGGCGGGGCAGGGCGTGACGGGGGATGTAGCGCCTTAAAACTGCCAGATCGGCTCGGCAAAGGGGATTATTCCACCGACGGGCAAGTGTCCTGAGAGGTCTTCCTGAGCGTGGTGGCAGGCCACACGCTCGGTCGCCAGACCCAAGTGACGCTGTGCTGGTCTGACGAGCAGCGGCGGTAAGAACCTGCCAGGGTGAGCCACTTATTTACTGCAGTAGCGATTAAAGAGGGAGTCAGTACACTGGCCGGATCTTGGGCATGTCTCTCCGATTTCAGAGGTGCTGACTTGTTCACGCAGCCCACGGAGCCTATCAACCTCGTGAGTCCTGTGAGGTGCAGTGGTGGCTGTTGGTCGCCCGTGATGGAGGAAAAAGGCCGGTGAAATGTTGATGATGTGATGTTTTTTTCAGTCACGGCACATAAAACACGTCGCGAGCAACCGATGCCTGGGAATTGCTGCGGACAAGACTAAAATCGTCATGGAGGAGTGTGAACCGGACCACGGGAGGATGCGATGGATCTTGCAGAATTACGACCCTGCCAAGCTTTCATAACGTCTCGTGAGTGCTCAACTAACTAACCTGGGATTGTAACGGTTGAGAGACTAGTCTGGTATGAGGAAGTCCATTGTCAGGCATTGATGGCAGTTCCCATACACTCTTTGTACTTTTTAGGCTTATAAGATGAACTTCTACAGCAGATAGGCTCTCGGAGAATATGTGTGGTATAAAGGGATTAATTTGAACAACTATATAAGAATAACTGTATTGCTAGCGCAGTGTAGCAACTAACTGATGGACTTGCCTCTTAGTTTAGTTGAAGTTCATGTCTCAGAGCTAGCAAAGCTCAGCAGTGTATACTGCCTTGCCTGTGTCCCTGTATTGGATCATGACTCAGACTTCATCGCAATATATCCTGTTTCCTCACGTGTCTTTCAGCGCATTGTGTCAGCTAGCTTCGACTTCACGTCTGGGGATGTGGAAGATGGGGCCGGGTCACCCATTCCACCAACCTCCGCTGGAGGTGGCCTGCACCGCCGCTGGACAGTGTTCAAGCGGCCGGACCGATCCAACGGTCCTCAGGATCCGCTGGAGGTGGTTTCCACCGCCGCTGGACAGTGTTCAAGCGGCCGGACCGATCCAACGGTCCTCAGGATCCGCTGGAGGTGGTTTCCACCGCCGCTGGACAGTGTTCAAGCGGCTAGACCGGTCCAGGGGTCCGTAGGATCCCCTGGAGGTGGTTTCCATCTCCGCTGGACAGTGTTCAAGCGGCCGGACCGATCCAGCGGTCCTCAGGATCCGCTGGATGTGGTTTCCACCGCCGCTGGACAGTGTTCAAGCGGCCGGACCGATCCAGCGGTCCTCAGGATCCGCTGGAGGTGGTTTCCACCGCCGCTGGACAGTGTTCAAGCGGCCGGACCGATCCAACGGTCCTCAGGATCCGCTGGAGGTGGTTTCCATCGCCGCTGGACAGTGTTCAAGCGGCCGGACCGATCCAGCGGTCCTCAGGATCCGCTGGAGGTGGTTTCCACCGCCGCTGGACAGTGTTCAAGCGGCCGGACCGATCCAGCGGTCCTCAGGATCCGCTGGATGTGGTTTCCACCGCCGCGGGACAGTGTTCAAGCGGCTAGACCGGTCCAGGGGTCCGTAGGATCCCCTGGAGGCCTTCTCTACCGCCGCCGGCCAGTGTTGCGGTGACTGTGGTCGGGACTGCACGGTGTCAGTGGCGCCCCCTGGCGAACGTGCTCAGACTTCAAGCGTCAGTGCTTCGGCATTGTCAATAGGACGAGGTGGAGTTGGGTGCCTCAGCAGCTGCTGGTGCCAGAGAGCCGCGTATTCAGGGAAGTTCACAGAGCGGCCGAAAGATGGCGCTGTTTGGGCCGTCGGGTCCGGACGTCGCCTCCGCGCGCAACGCCGTGTCAGCCAAGAAAGGAGAGCGACACAGCCGCCGACCGCGCCAACGAACTGACTGCGAGCCAGTGCGATCGAGGCCGGCGTGAAGGCGCTCTCCCAGCCAGTGCGCTGTCAGGCGTGTCCGGGGCTCTAGTCTAGCGAGAGGCGCGCTGCTGACGTGAATCCCTGGCTCATATGGATCCCGGACTGGTGTGGATCCCGGACTGAAGTGGATCCCGAACTGACGGGGATCCCGGACTGACATGGATCCCCGGCTGACGTGGATTCCGGGCTGACTCCGGACGCCGCCGCGTGCGACCGTGCACGTGTATGAATTGTGCTGTGGTGGCTGGTGCCAGGTCATCGGAAGCACGTAGACGTGTGGCTCCAGGCGGCTCCAAGGGGGTCTTAGTCTTTCATTGCCGTTGCCACGAGCGGGCGGTGTGCTGGTGTTCGCCCCTGACGCTGTGTTCGGGTTGTGATAGGGGAACTGTCTTACGGCAATGCGTGTTTCTTGCAAAATTGATGTCGGCTCCGGTGTGTGGGCGAGGCTGGGTAGACTAGCTATGTGAGACCTGAAAACAATCGCCGCGAGGTTATGCCATGACTGGCAGGCGTGCGTTACCGCCGGTGTATCATAGTCTCAGTATTTGAGTTTGTGTTCAAAAGTGCCGATGTTTTGTGTGTTTTTACTCTCTATATCGTATAAGTGCTCAAGTGTGCAGGCGACGAGACAACCTAATGATCCTGGAAGAGCCGGGGCAGGCTAGCAACAAAATCGAATACGTAAACATGCAAAATGAAAAGGAAAGTATAGACAGAAGGCCGATACGTTCCTTCGAACTTGCGTGGGAGCACACGTTGTGATGCTCGTGTAACACGGTCTAGGGTCACTGTTCCTGTTGACCTTGGAAATGACCTCATTCCGCGGGTTCCAGGGCGCTGGTTGCCGTTGTCTTTAATAAACAGTTGACAACGGCGAAGGATCGCGTTCCGTGTCGGCAGTATGCGTGTTTGCGAAAGCGCGTCTTTTTCTCTGTCGATATAACGGGTACCGTTTCAATAATTTCTAAAACGGAAACGTGCCCGTCACCCCGTGGACATATTCCGTCGCATAAGTCACCTGCCACATGCCGTAGCTCTGCTGAGAAGTGAACTTGTATGCAAAAAGAATGGGGGACTGAAATGTGGGTGTGGAGATTGACCACCGTATGCGAGAGTTGTACCGATAAAGATGTAAGTAACTCCACTGAGGAAAACAGCGGTGGTGCCCTGATAAGGACTACGCCTTATGTGGTGCTCAAGAGCGACCATAGCGCACGTGCACATAGGAGGGTTGTCAGATGTCCTGCTGTCCACATCAATAAGTCGTGGACTACTGGTCTTCGAAGTCATCACGCGCCTGAAACTGGGGCTCACGTTGTGCCGTAAGCCATTGTCCTAATTGTATTTTACTTCCTTTGCATGTCTGAAGCAAATGAAAACCCACAGTGCGGTAGTGTAATATTAATGTTCGGCAGATGTGGATAATTCAGTCCAAATTTAACTCCGGTGAAGACAATCCGTTAACTAGGTAGCTGAGCTAAGTAAATATATGCGTCAAATCGTAAGGAATTTTCCAGCATGCGATTTTTACTTCTTAATGACCGTCAGTTGCCTTTCAATTAATGCTGCGCGAGGTGCGATGACGTAATCAAAACCATGACACATTGGGG